CACGAGGTAGGGATTGCCCCACGCGGTCCCTGGGACATCCCACTTCCAGAGCACGCACTGGAAATGGGGATGTGGTGGGGAATGGAGGAGAGATGTACGTGAGAGTGGATAGCTAACCTAAACCACAAGTGGGGTGAGTTCAATGGGGCAGAGCACATCTGGCAATTCATGACGGGGCGGGCGAGAGCATAGACTACTCATGGGCCGGGGAAACAGGTCACTCACCTCAACAGGGTAGGTAGAGTAGGCCTTGCACGGGTCAGCTTGGCTAGTTGTCGTCCCAGCCGCCTCGTTAACGATCCATTGCTGCTGTTCAGGCGTGCGCGGCGTGTTCCGTGCCTTGACAGCACTCAGATGCTCCTGTTGTAGCACGGGGGTGAGGGATGGGATAGAAAAGGTAAGGGTGGTAGCTATGTGGGTTCTATCAGGCGACCCACAAACGAGAATGTATTTGAATGCGTGCAGATGGCATGTGACCTCACCTTTGCAGCATAGCAGATGCTGCACGGCATCCGCGATCCATGCGAGAGTGTGCAACTGATCTTGCCGCTCTCGGGGTAGTCGCACACCCAGGCGTACAGCAGGGGCCGCACGGTTTGCCAATCACCGAAAGGGTCCCTGAGACGGAACCCGCTGCAAGGAACATGTAGAGGGGCAACAGGAATTCGGGTTACGGCTTTTAGGGAGGAACGACGAGGGGCAAAGGGCCATGCTACATACAGAGAGGGTTTGCATACCATGCAGGTGGTGAGATGATGTCTTAGCAAGATGCAAACCGAGTACGGACCTGGCGATGCCATCAAGAAGCGGCTGCAGCACGGTGATGACGCAACGCTGGAAGAGCATCACCTTCTCCACGGCAGACATTGCAGACGGGGGGATAGGAAGGAGGGCAAGTAGTGTGTGCCCGACTTTCCCCCATCGCTTGGCCTGGGAGATGTTGGCCAGCGTCATCATGAGCGGCCACGCCTTCTTCCGGCCGTTGATGCTCATGTGCGTCACATCCGAATATAAGATGATCCCCCCCACAACTTCGGACCAACCGAAGTGTTCCTGCAGTGCACGACAAAGCGGCAACGGACACACGGTTTAGGGCTCAAGATGCTCTTGACAGATCAGTGCAGCGATGGAGGCATGAGGAAGGATTGGGTTTGGGGTGGCAACGTGGTCTTTCCTTACCTGAGCATCGTTCCACCACGTTCCTGTTTCAGGCGTGGTATAGCGACGGCCGCCTGCGTCAGGGTCCTCATCAACACGCGCCTTGAGCTTGAAGCCGGGCGCGTTGTTGGGATGTCCAAACATTTCAGCGAATGCCTGGTGTACGGTGGCGAAGGCAGGTGAGAGGAGAGGCATGGTTAGTGGCGGTGAAGGTGGGTGTACGGTTAATACAAGGATAACTACGTACATGCAAACCCTGTGTGCCTCATCATCATTTCACGGCCTTGAATGCAAAGTCGGCTTACCTGGGCTGAGTTCTGAAAGAGCAAGCGCTGTGGTGGATGACCGTCAATCTCGAAGGTCGCCACCGACCATCCGCGATTGAGCCCTGCCAAACGCTCCATCTCGAACCGCTCCAGATCCTTACAGTTCCGGAGCTCCGAGATCACAAGAGGCGCAAGGCCGGGCTCTACGACTAGCTGAAGCAGGCCGTTGATGTCAACCTCGGCCATTCCCATTCCGCCATTCACGCGCCGAACGAAATGCAGCAGCTTCAACGCGAGCGGATTGAGGGGCGTGGCATTGCTCTGTCCGGAGATGATTGTTGGCGGCGCGGCATGACTCCCTTCGGGCCGGCTCTCAGGATGGTCACTCGTGTCAGCCGCAGGAGCTCCTGGTTGTGGTTGATGTTCATCTTCAGGAGGCCCCTCGTTCACGTCGTTGGGAGTTTCGTCAACGTGAGCTTCAGGCACGCGTGGAGGACCGCTCACACTGACGGCGTTGGATACGTTAGACGCTGTAGGTGAACCGGGAGCGGCTGGAGCGTCCGACAGAATGTCGTGGACGAATAGCAGAGCGTGAAGACCGGCGGTCGGTGCAGATCGCGTCGGCCTTGCCACGGCGGATAGTCCTTGGCAAGGGGTCCGCCGTGACTTATGACCGCCATAAACTTGGGCGTTGGGGAACCATCTGTTGCAGAACTCGCAGACGACGCCTGGTAAAGAGCCCATGTGTTACGGATCCGTTGTAGAGTCGAGAAATCGCCTATGAAGCTACTAGCCGTGATGAAGCTTGTGAACGCATTAAGTACTCCGTTCAAGAAGCCTGTGACAGCTACACTATCATCGCCAATGCGCGCACTGTGGTGGGCGGCTTGTATCACTGCACGACTGGCACTTGACATTGGCGCTAATGTTTATGACTGGCTAACGATGTCGAGCCGCGTGGTCGTTACCAGGCACGATACACACCGCCCACCTCACGGGCCGTCTTCCCTACAAGGCGTGTCGCCCCCGTTTAGAGTGACCACGACGCGAGCAGAGGAGAATGCGGAGGATCTTAAGTCTCACGGTCGTGTGTGTGCGTCGCGAGCACGGTGAGAAGGACGTGCCTATTGAGTCAAGAACTTGTGTTTAGGAACCGTGCGTGAGAGTCGAGGGGGATGAGGAAGAGCGGGAAGATATCCGTTTGGATCTGTGATTGTGTCGCGAATCGATATAGGGGGGAAATCAGAATCACGTAGGTGAGCTCAAGAGGCTTCAAACAAACATGGAAATGCAAATGTACAATTACAACTTAACAAGACACTCAAGTCATTCATAACTAGTAAACATTCATATCCTTAGGACTGATGTTGAACAACCCTTACTTGATAACGATACGGGAAGTACCCAATAACTCCATGCCCTAACGTATGATTGTTGCGCAACCCGCAGGCCTGAAAGCTGCATCGTCGCACAGTCTAACCATGGCTGACGATAGCACATCTACGCTTGTGCGTTGGGCCTGTGCTTCATACAACTCCTTCTAAGCACCTTGTTTAATGTCTGTGCAAGAATGGATGCCAATGCAACACCATACCACAACGGATTCACCATGTCGCGCAACCCGCAGTCCTGAACGCTGCATCGTCGCACAGTCTAACCATGGCTGTCGATAACGCATCTACGCTTGTGCGTTGGGCCTGTGCTTCATACAACTCCTTCTAAGCACCTTGTTTAATGTCTGTGCAAGAATGGATGCCAGTGCAACACCATACCACAACGGATTCACCATGTCGCGCAACCCGCAGGCCTGAACGCTGCATCGTCGCACAGTCTAACCATGGCTGTCGATAACGCATCTACGCTTGTGCGTTGGGCCTGTGCTTCATACAACTCCTTCTAAGCACCTTGTTTAATGTCTGTGCAAGAATGGATGCCAGTGCAACACCATACCACAACGGATTCACCATGTCGCGCAACCCGCAGGCCTGAACGCTGCATCGTCGCACAGTCTAACCATGGCTGTCGATAACGCATCTACGCTTGTGCGTTGGGCCTGTGCTTCATACAACTCCTTCTAAGCACCTTGTTTAATGTCTGTGCAAGAATGGATGCCAATGCAACACCATACCACAACGGATTCACCATGTCGCGCAACCCGCAGGCCTGAACGCTGCATCGTCGCACAGTCTAACCATGGCTGTCGATAATGCATCTACGCTTGTGCGTTGGGCCTGTGCTTCATACAACTCCTTCTAAGCACCTTGTTTAATGTCTGTGCAAGAATGGATGCCAATGCAACACCATACCACAACGGATTCACCATGTCGCGCAACCCGCAGGCCTGAACGCTGCATCGTCGCACAGTCTAACCATGGCTGTCGATAACGCATCTACGCTTGTGCGTTGGGCCTGTGCTTCATACCACTCCTTCTAAGCACGCTGTTTAATGTCTGTGCAAGAATGGATGACAATCCAACACCATACCACAACGGATTCACGTTTGTTACTATTGATAATCGTGTTAGAATGTCGTCCGCTGGCCCTAAACTATTGTGGCAAAGCCTAAAAGTGCACAGTACATCTGTCACAAGTAATAATTCTGGACGGTCGTTGTGTGTGTGACGTAAGAATCACCGATTAACTTACCCCAACCCCGTGGTAAACCATTTGCAACTTAGAGTTTGATGAAATGCATTGTTGTATGTTTGAATAAAATTTAGTGATTTATGCGTTGGCAACCGTGATTGGCCGACGCATCTCAAACGATTCCCCCCGCAACACAGTCATCAGCCAAGAGGTACTTCAGCCATTGAGCGGCTGAGATCGAGCGGTAGGTGGGTTTATGCTAGGGTGGCTACACGTACACCGTTCAATATAGCCTGATAGGGTTACATTACTCTCTCTAGTCTCGCAACCCACCCCAACCACCCTCGTGTCCCACCCACCTGCTTCCGTCACTCCCTGGACCAACACTTTGACGCTGCTCGTTGCCTTGATACACGCCTCTCCAGATCGGCCTTAGCGCGAAGCATAGTGGCTACTATGACAGATTTAGTTGAAGCGGCGGTTTTCGGAAACACATAACAGTGATAGACCGTCGATAATCCCATCGTGGGATTCAGTTGCAGAACCCTTTCGAAACCGGCTCAACCCTTCCGCGCGATTTGCAACTTTGCTCCTCCTACAATTACCATGACACGTGCAACACGTAACCAAGCAATGGAGGAGGAACAGGCCGGCCGCCGCGCGACAAGGAGGACGTCTAAACAAATCGATAGGGAGTGTGGTGGCGGCGCTAAAAAAACTAATGCGTCCGTCGCTCGTGGCGTTGGGCAGAAAAAAGCGGCGGCAAAAAAGGTCGCGCGCGGTCAACAGGAGGCCGGCAAGAAAGCGGAAGACAAGGGGCCTAAACCAACGCCACGCAAGCGTGTTTCTACAGTGAACAAAGATGCGGATGTTGCCTCTGCTGGAACCGAGCCCGGTCCGAGTAAAGACGGCACCACTGGCGGCAACGAAGATCCGGGGCGAGGGAGCGCGAGTCTTGCACTCCCGTCGGCGGAGATGGAGGGATCGGCGATGGAGGGAAATCACGGAGGCGATCCCCGCGCCGAGCATGCCGCAACCAAGGAGTCCGAGGCGGCGGCAACGCAACACCATCTGACGCTGCTCCAGCCGACCGTGGTCGAAGTTTCTGCAGCCGTGCTGGATAAGAACAAGGTGGGGGAGCACGAGTCGGTGGGGCTGGTCGGTGGCTCTCCACCTTCTGGTGGACGGGGGAGGCGTAGGCAGAGGAAGAGCGATGGGGAGGACGATTATGACACCGCCGTGCCCGGGGACCTCATTACGCGGGCGAAGAGGCGGCAGACGACAGGTAGTGCTGACGACGCCGGTGGCGCGGCAGTTGGGACACCGCGAGGCGCCAAGGAAGCTAGTGGCAAGGCGGGCGGTCAAGCATTGCGCCAGAAGGGCCGACCCGCAGCAAGAAAAGCATCCGGCGGAAGGAGAGGCAAGAAAGCAGCGACGGGAACAAAGCCGAAACGGGGCGATGAAGACCCCGGTGATGCGGAGGAGGAGGAGGATGAGGAGGAGGATGCGGAGGGAGAGGAGGATGAAGAGGAAGCGGAGGAGGATGACGCGGATGTTGGGGAGGATGAAAAAGATGAGAATGATGGCGGGGAGGACGAAGAGGAGGAGGAGGAGGAGGAGGAGGAGGAGGATGAGGAGGAGGAGGAGGAGGAGGAGGAGGAGGAGGCAGAGGAGGAGGAGGAGGAGGAGGAGGAGGAGGAGGAGGAGGAGGAGGAGGAGGAGGAGCAGGGTGACGACGAGGAGGAGGATGTGGAGGAGGAGGAAGAGGAGGAGGCAGCGGAGGAGGAGGAGGAGGAGGAGGAGGAGGAGGAGGAGGAGGAGGAGGAGGAGGAGGAGGAGGAGGAGGATGTGGCGCCAGTGAAGGGACGGGGCGGGCGTGGCAGACGGGTGAGTGGTACAGGGAAGGAGGGGGGCCGGACTCGCCCTTCCCGAAAACGCGGGGCAGTTGACGCTGCGCGCGGCGAAGCATCGGGCAAACCGAAGGCGCGTAAGGTGAAGGTCGAAAGTGAAGGGGTTGGTAAAAAGCAAGGGAGCCAGGGAGCAAAAGGGGATGGAGGAGGAAAGGGTGGCCGTGCCAAAGGGGTTCCAGTGGGTACCAGCAAGAAAGAACCTGCCGGTAAACTGGGCAGCGTCCGCCAAAGCACCCCGCGGAAAGGTGGCAACGAGAAGGCGCAAGCTGCCCCAAAACCGAAGGAACAGCAGAAAGGTGAGCATTGTGTCCGATAAAACTGGCGTGACGTGTTGAACCATCTGCTAAACCGTGCCAAAAAACACCCTTTTTTCACATTGTTTCTCCCATGCAGGGAAGGAGAAGGTCGACGAATCTGCCAAGCAAGGTAAACCCTCTTGTCTCAAACCAGTACAACCCTGAACCCGATCTAGATTCAAACCTTTCTGAATATGCATGCATGTCTGGCCCCGCCTTGAAACCGATCGACTCTAATTTTTTTTTTCCGGCTCCCTCTACATCTCAGCCCCTCGCGTTACAGGCATTGGGCCGCCCGTAAGCGTGCAACGAATGCATCTAACGAAGGCTGCCGGAAGAGCGAGTGTTACACCGCTCTCCTCCGGAGCACCAAGGTACTACACGCCATGGGCCGGCCTGAGCAAAGTCGCTGTGACGGCACCAGGCGCGCCAAGAGGAGAGGAATCCGAATCCCCTCCACCCGCCCCCGTCACGCAGTCCCCACTCGCCTCACCCTCGTACCAATTTCGGCAACTCCACGCTTCTCCTGTCCGGGGCAGGGCGGTCTCCCCTCTCGCCGATCCTTCGCGCGGGCATCAGGCAGGCAGTTATGCCAATCCCTTCCCTGAGCTCCCCTTTTCCCGCCAGCGTGATAGTGTGAGGGCACACGGGACTGCTGCAGAAGACGTTGATCCCCTTGGCCAGAGGGGGGATTCTTCACACCCTTTTCCTCCGCTCATGGGTGCCCTAGGTGAAAGTGCGGAGCACGAGCAGTTTGTTACACGGGAGGAGTTCCAGGCGCTGCGGTCTGAGATGTACGCCATGTTTGCACAGCTCGGCCTGCGTCGTGGAGTACCTGCCAGCTATGCCGGCGGGTCGGCAGCCCTGCCTATGGCTGGTACCCCGCCGCCGATGAGCGCCGTGGACAAGGCACGAGTGCTAGTGTTGCAGGAGACAAACCCATTCCCGGTATGTGGCGGGCCACATGGGGAGGGTTGGGGTTGACGTGGCAACAAGGGCGGGGTTGGGGCTGACGTGGCGGTTTCGAAGGGAACATGGGAGCGGCGGGTGACAAGGCGACGCGTATCAGGTGGGTGGGGGGTGACGTGGCATGGGGTGGGTGGGTGTGACGTGGCAAGTGGCGCGGGTTGTTGGTGGACGTGGCGGATGCGGGTTGGGTGTGACGTGGCAAAAGGTGAGGGTTTGGTATATGACGTGGCGGTGTGAAAGGGTGCAAGGGAGTGCCACATGACGGCGCGAGGCGTTTCAGGTGGGTGGGGGGTGACGTGGCTCTTGGTGGGGGGTGTGACGTGGCAAGTAGGGCGGGTTGTTGGCGGATGCAAAAGGGTGTGACGTGGCAGAATGTGAGGGTTGGGGCTGACGTGGCGGTTTGGAATGGTACACGGGAGCGGCGCGTGACGAGGCGACGCGTGTCAGGTGGGTGGGGGGTGACGTGGCATGGGGTGGGAGGGTGTGACGTGGCACGTGGGGCTGGTTGTTGGTGGACGTGGCGGATGCAGGAGGGTGTGACGTGGCACGTGGGGCTGGTTGGTGGACGTGGCGGACAAGGAGGGTGTGACGTGGCACGTGGGGCTGGTTGGTGGACGTGGCGGATGCAGGAGGGTGTGACGTGGCGGAAGGTGAGGGTGGGGGATGACGTGACAGATGCAGGTGGGTGTGACGTGGCGGAAGGTGAGGGTTGGGGATGACGTGGCACCCTAAAAGGGTACACGTGAGCGGCGCATGACGAAGCGAGGCGTCTCAGGTGGGTGGGGGGTGACGTGGCTCTTGGTGGGGGGTGTGACGTGGCAAGTAGGGCGGGTTGTTGGTGGATGCAAAAGGGTGTGACGTGGCAGAATGTGAGGGTTGGGGCTGACGTGGCGGTTTGGAATGGTACACGGGAGCGGCGCGTGACGAGGCGACGCGTGTCAGGTGGGTGGGGGGTGACGTGGCATGGGGTGGGAGGGTGTGACGTGGCACGTGGGGCTGGTTGTTGGTGGACTTGGCGGATGCAGGAGGGTGTGACGTGGCACGTGGGGCTGGTTGGTGGACGTGGCGGACAAGGAGGGTGTGACGTGGCACGTGGGGCTGGTTGGTGGACGTGGCGGATGCAGGAGGGTGTGACGTGGCGGAAGGTGAGGGTGGGGGATGACGTGACAGATGCAGGTGGGTGTGACGTGGCGGAAGGTGAGGGTTGGGGATGACGTGGCACCCTAAAAGGGTACACGTGAGCGGCGCATGACGAAGCGAGGCGTCTCAGGTGGGTGGGGGGTGACGTGGCTCTTGGTGGGGGGTGTGACGTGGCAAGTAGGGCGGGTTGTTGGTGGATGCAAAAGGGTGTGACGTGGCAGAATGTGAGGGTTGGGGCTGACGTGGCGGTTTGGAATGGTACACGGGAGCGGCGCGTGACGAGGCGACGCGTGTCAGGTGGGTGGGGGGTGACGTGGCATGGGGTGGGAGGGTGTGACGTGGCACGTGGGGCTGGTTGTTGGTGGACTTGGCGGATGCAGGAGGGTGTGACGTGGCACGTGGGGCTGGTTGGTGGACGTGGCGGACAAGGAGGGTGTGACGTGGCACGTGGGGCTGGTTGGTGGACGTGGCGGATGCAGGAGGGTGTGACGTGGCGGAAGGTGAGGGTGGGGGATGACGTGACAGATGCAGGTGGGTGTGACGTGGCGGAAGGTGAGGGTTGGGGATGACGTGGCACCCTAAAAGGGTACACGTGAGCGGCGCATGACGAAGCGAGGCGTCTCAGGTGGGTGGGGGGTGACGTGGCTCTTGGTGGGGGTTGTGACGTGGCAAGTAGGGCGGGTTGTTGGCGGATGCAAAAGGGTGTGACGTGGCAGAATGTGAGGGTTGGGGCTGACGTGGCGGTTTGGAATGGTACACGGGAGCGGCGCGTGACGAGGCGACGCGTGTCAGGTGGGTGGGGGGTGACGTGGCAAGTTCAAACAGTGTTGCTAGTCACCATCCCATGGTCATGCGGCCACCCTCATAACTGCTGGTTTCTCTCTTCCATGTCGTGTTGTATACCTTACACCCCTGCGCAGAACAAAGCCTACTTAGTGTGCTCTCAGCTCATGTTTCTGAACCCGCCGGAGAAAATACAGTACTACCCTGCACCGGAGGAAGTGTTCGAAGCGTTCTCTGTCCACTTGTCTGCAGAAGGGCTCGAGGCAATGAAGCTGCTGTGGTTGCACAATGACAAGTCAACCATGGGAGTCTTCAACCACCAGCTGTCCTCAACAAGGTCAACTATCAACTCCACCCTCAGGCCAGCAGCATACACCGGCATGGGCCTTGCCGATTACAGCCATCTCGTGGATAGCCTGCCCACTGAGCTACACCCAACGACCTGGTTCGACGACGATCAACTCCTAGCCGAGTACAGAGATGGTATGTGCAGTGCAACTCGAAAACACAATATGCCCTACCATATGCCCCTTGGCAGCTACATATCACCGTGCGATGTGGCTCACCCTGACTCTCATCCCCCCATTTGATTTCTCTACAAAACCCTTTCCAACCCATACCCTCCCTGCCAAAAAGCAGAACAGTGGGCCCTCAACTGGCACTTTGACAAGGCCACCGGGACACCCTTCAGCAACCCCTTGTTCGCTTATGCGTTCAAGCTCTCCTTCAAGAGGGGCGGGGCGGTGTACACCAAGTTCAAGAGCCGCATGGTGGCATGGGGCCTGTTTTCGGTAAGGATGTAGATATGTGTTTGTACCCCCATGCCTCATCCCCTTAACCCCTTGCCTGTACTTCAGCTAAAACCCTGGTCGATTAGGCCTTTGCAGTTACGTAGATAGTGACGACTGCATCACCGCTTTCAGTTGCCTCATTTACCCGTAACCTACCCTCCTCATAAACCATCCACCAAACCCTACACCACATTGCAGATCGAATGGCCCCTTCTGCAGGATAAGCGTCGCAAGCGAATCAGTAGCCAGCCGGAGCAGAACAGGCCAGACTACCAGGAGTGGTGCGAAAAGGTCAAACAGATGATCCATTTTGCTGTCGTGGAGCGGAGGATCCCCCACCATCCGGCTATGGGTGCGTTCGTCTTTCCGAACAAGTTCCTTATCGACGACGGCGACCTTGGAGATGTCGTCCTTGCCCACCGGGCGCTTTCAAGGCCCGCCAGTGCGTAGGCTATTTGACCTGGTGTTAAGACTGCTTGTTGCTAGAATGCTGAATAATGGTTCTTGTAAACCGCAATAATAAATGCAATTTTGAAATCCTCAATATCCAAAATGAACAAAAACAGAATTTAGTTTTGAATAATTTGGTCACGAATTTACAACAAAACGGATTGCGCCCGAATGTCATCCGGAAAAGCTCGCGTGCCAAATTGGAACTTGAACCGAGCCAAACCTTGTCGCGAGATGTGTCTCGGAGCTCCTATCAAATGACTCCAACCGTCAGTCCAAATTGGCTCCGGATTTTTTTACGCGAAGACAATCGAAATCAAAATTCGTCCAAACTTGGCATAGGGTTTTTGTGATGGGTGCGCTGTGCTCTGTCCCGGGTGATCTGCAAGCCAAGGTAGCTGCGCAGTTCACCCAGGTCTGTGCACGCGTGTCTCTTCTGCAGCTCAGCAACTAAGGCAGACGCAGCAGTGGACTCAAAGGAAGGGTCAGTGACGACAGTAGCAAGGAGACGCGTGACAGTAGGACTGGTAGCACGAAGGGAGTCCGACTCCGGGTCAGGAAGAGCAGGAAGAGAGGACTCTGGAGGAGACGGCAAAGGGACGCGCAGCGGAGCAGTGGAAGGACGCAGAGACATCCGGTGCGTACCGGGGACATGAGGAGGACGCTGACGCGAACTACGACCACCAGTGCGAGCAGCACGAACAGGCGACGCAGGACGAGACGCAGGCTCATGACGCTCAGCAAGACCTCCTGTAGGACCAGTGTAGGGAGAAGGAGCAGGCAGAGGGGAGGCGGGCTGTAACTGTGACTCGGACAGGACAGGCGGTGGACACCCTAAGGGAGGAGCAGGACTAGTGGAGGGCGGAAGACCAAGAACCTGCTCAAGGAGCGGAACGAAGTACGGCCGCGGCCGTGCAGCGCCCCCAGAACCAGCAGGAACAGCAGCTCTAGCACCAGCACCCGAAGCACCCGCAGCTCCAGCAGTGCCAACTCCAGCACCTCCAGCACCCGCAGAAGCACCAGCGCCAGTAGCACCTCCAGCGCCAACACCCCCAGCAGCTCCAGCTCCACTAGGACCACCACAAGACGCAGCAGCTCCAACTCCAGTAGCACCAGCAGCACCGACGCCAGCAGCACCACCAGCGCCAGCACCAGGAGCACCCGCAGA